AAGGAAGGGAGGGAATGTAAGAGAGAGGAGTGATAGAGGGGGAGGGGAAGTAGGAAGTAGAGAGGTATGTAGGAAGGTAGAATGAACGTTAGAGGGGGGTGAAAGTGGGTGTATGGTGGGTCAAGGTGGTATATTGGGTTTGTATTTTGGGGGGGATTGTCTATAAAAGCGAGGGCTGTGTTTATTATTCAATGTTATATGCCCCGGTTATGCACAGTATACATGTGATTGTATGGAATGAAATGGAAATGGAAATAAACGTATTTTCAAGGACAAAAAAATAAATAAAATAAATAAATAAATAAAAATATTCATTTCAATGGCTGCAATTCTCCCTAACCACATATATCTTATTCTAGTTTTCTAATTCATTGATAGTTGTTTATAAATTGACCCCTATATTTTTTGTCATATAGAATTCTATATATTTATGTAATATAACCCTAGTCCTCAATAAAGGTATAACATTCCTTGTTCAGTATAGTGCTTTATTACAATTTTTAGGAAATACTGTTCTTCTAGCTTTTTCTTTATAAGTGCTATGTATCCCATTAAACAATTTGAGCTATAACCTACTTTAAATAAAATTGACACTATGTAGTACCATTCCAAATTATCAAAAGCTTTTTCTGCATACAATAAAAATTGAAACAAAAATCCTGGCTACTTTAAACATTTATCTTGCCAGTAACAATCTTTTTTGAATAAATCTAGTCTGGTTAGGATGTATCATTTAGTTAACTTTTTATTCTGTTTTCAAATATTGCTACGAAACAATTTGTAACCTATGTAACAAAACAGTTCTCTACCACTCAAACTTTTTCCTTCTTTATAAATCAAAGAAACAAAGTCATTTCAAGATGTAGGAAATTCTGTACATTCCTGAATTTAATTCATTACTATGTTAATGGTTTGACCAAGATGTGAAGAGGTAATAGTAAAAGGAAACCAGGCTGCCAAATAACAGAACACCTCAAAGAAGTAGTGCAAGATCAGAAAATCAGATGGAGAGACCTGGCCCAAAGAATTGCCAAGAGTCAGAAATAACTAAATAGATAATATCATCATCAATCATAATTATATAGCAAAAATATTATCAGGTCCAGAACATTTGTTCTATTTCAGTTTTTAGTCATCTCTTTTGACTTGTCTTCAGTAGTAAGATGGCTACAAGTTGATCTCTAAATTTGGTAAAAATATATATTCCAATAATCTTCATTTTTTCTGGATCTATTATAGACTTACTATATAATCTACAGTAGTAATTCATGAAATGCTACATCATCTCTTTCATTGTGGAAATATGTTTGGTTCCACTCCAAATACAGTAAATAATACTTTTATCCTGCATTCAGTTGATAGGCCAGTAATTTTACTGACATTGCTTTTTTCAAAATATTTCTGTTTAATAAAATCCAGCCTCCTGTAGATCTCTTTTAGTTCCAATAAATCTGTTTATTGCATATTGCTATTCTTTTCTAAAACCAAGACTGGGTTAATTTTATGGCTTAATTCTAACTGTTTTGGCTCAGCCAATAATATTTCCTTCTGTTTTTGCATGGCTTTTTATCTGATGCCAGAGAGATAAATAAATATATCCTAAATATTTTACTAGCATCTCATACTGATAATAAGGAAACATCAGGAATCAAATTGATTTGAAAGAAACTCGATAGTATTTGGAAACACATATGTCCTCCTTAATAATAATTCATTAAATCTCTACTTATTCAATCTTAGTATCCTTTAATTGACATTATCAGAGTATTGGATTATGAACTTCCATCTCCATATCTATGCATTTGGTTATTGATAGATTACAATTCAAAACATCTGTCTTCTTGAATCATTTTTAGGAATTATTAAAGCATGCTTCTGAACAAGGCAGCAATAATGCACAAGGTGAAATATTTTGAGGAAAATTTCTGAAATTATCATTTTATTCATACAAGGGTGGGATGGAAAAACACATGTGGACAAGAAAGCTTCATTTTCTTCCAAACTAACTTGTGACACCAATATGCCCACTTTTGCACATGCTCTGTTACACATCTATATGCTGAGAACTGCTCAATTAATACATCAGAAATGATGATTAAGACATAGCTTTTCATTGGGATTGGTGTCACCCTGCTGGGGCAATATGCAGGGGACTTTTGGCTATGCGCAAACAAGCATTCTCAATCTGAGTTAGGAAAGAGGCTAAATAGCTTTAACCATTGCTCATATGAGATAGAACAAGTAGCATTTAGAAAAAGAATTATGAGAAAGGAACCACAGGGTCAAAACCATTACCAGCTGTTGTAGCTAGGTGGATTGTGTTAAGCAAGCTATTCTCTTTCAGTCCAACTTACATCTTAGACTTGTGGTTGCAAATATTATGTATGTCACCTTGATCTCTTGGAGAAAAAAAGGGCAATATATAATTAATGAATAAAATATATATAAATGGATGTCAAGATGTAAAAGAATTTAAAGCTAACCTTGGGAAAAGCATGGGCAAACAATTAAGGAAGGGTTTGGACAACAGATGGTGTGATCCAAAGACTGTAGTAAGCATGAGAAAGAAACTCATGTAGTATAAGATGGACAGAGACAAATTTGGACAGCCTTTCAAGATTCTTGAAAGACACTTCAATAATAAAATAGCAGTTTTTAGAATCCTTGCTGTATTTTTTTCTTGGTCTATTCCAAAACACTGATACAATAATACCATGGCAGATAAGTTTACACTGAGAAATATTCTCATAGTATGAAATGTGAAGACCAATTTATTAGCATACTTTGTGTCATTCTGGATCATAACTGAAGCAGACAAAAAGTCTTTCTGGGCATTGTTAACAATACATATTCCAGCTCTAGATATTATACTCAATAACTGATTCTTCTCCCTGCTTTACTAACAAACATTTTCTGAGATTTGAATGTGAATTGAACATGAAGGTTCTTAAAAGCAAATTAAATAAAATGAAAAAAACAATTCTCTGCTAATTCTATGTGCTTTTTAAACTAAACTACTAATAGGTCCATGTTTGTTGCTTTCTTTTGCATGTATTAAATCAATCCCAATTTTAGGTTGGGTTGTTTAAAATGAGAAGCCAGTGTTTTTTCTCTCCTCTTCATTCTCAATCCAACTTCACCTTGCCTGACATTATGCATTCTGCTGCACAGATTAATTTGTTTCTTTTCTGCTGCTTCTTCTTTTCTCTCAGGTCTGTCATGGATTTGGACAAGGAGCCTGACCTTGTACACATGGAGGCTCGGACACCAGATGGACGTGAGTTTCTCAGCACCAAGTCTATCAAACCAAAGAGGAAGAGGGTCAATTACATTTTACTTGGTTTTGTTTTTTGATTTGCATTTTAATTGATAGGGAAAATGTGAATCCCCAAGCTCCCTTTGCTGTATGTTCCCGTCTTAGGTAGCAAGAGAATACAATTCTACAACTTTCATGTCTGTGGAAAGAAATAGAAGGAGAAGGGAACACAAACGTATTAGAGGTAATAAATAAAGGGAAAATAAATAAACAATAAACAAGGACAAAAAGTAATATGCCAGAACAACTTTATATCTTCTAGTCTCCCCCTCCTCCATATCCATAAATGGACTCTTGGCCCTCTATCAAGGTTTAAAGAGGAACAAGCCAGAGTCCCTGATTCATAAACCATTAATGAAGCCATATGGGTGAGTTTGTTCTACTTCCTGGGCAAGAAACCAATAAGAACACTTCTATTTGTTTGCGGGAATGAGAATTTGATAGCTATTTGGTTTCTGTTCTGTGTGTCATTTAAATGCCCCAATTAGAATTTGGATGTTAGGGATGAAGAGCTAGAAGAAACTGGGATTTTAAGAGATCAAGAACTAGAAACTGGGATTTTTAAACTATTCCCAAGAGCTAGTTTCCCATTTTTAATTAGTAGTTTTATAAGACTTCTATATTATAATTTCGCCTTGCAGTGAGATGGGTGGTAAACAAATTTAAAAATAAAATACATTAAAATAAATATAGCACACCTTTATGCAAAGAATACTTATATAAAAATAGATTTCATTTCATTTATTTCTAGAGAAAACAATTGGACTGAATATGGTTTTATAGAGAGGAATGCTCTTACTGACATTTGTTTCCAAAAAATAGTATAGAATTACAAGTAGGCTTTGTTCCTTAATTCTGCTTTCTAAGCCTCTTATGTTTTGCAAGAGAGTCAGAGAGAATACAAAGCAGAATACAGATTTGCATAATGTCACAATTGCTAATCTATATGTATATATGCAAACTTGAAATAATAGCCTCAATTTAAATGGAAATACAATACATCTCCACATTGTCTTCAAACTTCTTGAACAGCCAGATTCATTGGAGGTAAGTACTGCCAGCAACTGGAAATCCCTAATCAAGTAATGCTAGATATTGTAAACATCATGTGCAGTTAACCTAGAACATGATGTTTGTTCACTCCACCAATTTATTAAAAAACATACTATATTTTCATATTTTATGTTATCAAGAGTTGTGATGGATTCATATAGCAAATTTAATAATTAACCCAGCATGTATGTGGTCAACTTTGTCCCACTTGGGTTTCAAGAAATTGATAAATACATTTTTTTCCACCTGGTTGAGAATGAAGGTGTTTGTGGCTTATGATATTCGTATGCTTCCAGATTTTTTGATCTTTTAAAAAAAACCTATAACTTTTTAAAATATGTAATTCACAGTTTTATAGTATTGGGGTTTTTTTGGCTTAACATTGTTAAGCTTTTTCTTTTTAGTAGCACAGAAGCAAAGATAAATGATGTTAACCAATCTATGTCAACACTATTTCCTATACATTTCCATACTTGGAAACCATTTTTGTTTGTAACATATTAATATATAAATGTTATTTTGTAAACTTCTCAGAACTCTCTTTTGAGATTTCCTCAATGTTTACAGCCATGATTTCTTAAAACAATGCTCTTCTTAGAAAATTCATACTTCATTCTTATTTGTTTTCCACTTACATCCTCATTCATTCTGCTCCTATCATCAAGTTATTCTGAAATATTTATTTTGTACTTGTTATTCACTTTTATATTCAGCCTATATTCACAATACCCCATTTAACTATTATTTGTCACAAAAGATGGCAAATATACATGTCCTAGGATAATGTTACAAGATCCAATCGGGGTTGGTTATTGGGAGGAGAGGTTTAATCTTCCGAGCTTTTTGTTGAGAGAGAAATTCCCCGAGAATGGATCCTGGTGATTGGATCCTTTAATGTTTGTCCTTATAATCCAGCTCATCTCCATATAATATAATGGACAGAAACATTCTTAATCAGAGAACTATAGTGGTTAAGACAACATGCTAGAAACTGTGAGACCCTGAGTGTTAAGCCCACCTTAGACATAAAGCCATCTGTGCAACCCTGGGCCAGTCACTTTCAGCCTAAGAAGGAGGCACTTCTGAAAAATCTTGCTAAAAAACCCTGCAAGAACTTTTTTCAAAAATTGGACACAACTGAACAGAAAGGAAAAAAAAACTTCTGATACAAAAAATAATTTAATTAGGTTAATTAATATTAAAAAGCAAAACCTTCCATGTATCGGTGAGGCTAACATTCAAGTCTCCTAACTGGTTAAATTCCTAAACATGTATGATGTGGAACTGAGGTTTTACACTGACTATTTGGACTAGGCTGAAAAAAATATTACTGCTGTATCTTCAACATCTGCATATCTGGCAGCAACAAACTCTTCACTCTTCTTACAAAAAGGGGAAAACACAAGGAAGATTCAGGGGAAAACGTAAGAAAGACTCAGAGAAAATGAAACAGATTCAAAAACAAATATAATGAAAACATTGGAAATTAAGTGTATGAAAACAGGGGTTTCCACTACATACATGACCTGGAAATAAATCAACCCAGCTATTCAACAGTGCTCATGTCCAAAGCTGTTTCCAAACTGGCAAAGGATTATCGAATGAAAAAGCTTTAACCTAAATCTTGGTGCTCTCGTGGGACTACTAAAAGTTCTTTTTCTCCCTGTTTTCAAATAAAATAGAATTAAAGTTCTTATCTCACAGCAGAATATATTTCCTTATAATAATAAATGTATTATTTATTATATCTTAAATAATAAATAGATCGTTGTGTCTTCTTGTTTTTTTCTCTAATGTTAAGAGACACAAGAGTTGAAACAGATAATTATATAATCTAAAAATTTAAAAGACATTTGAATGGCATCCAAATGTTAGGGACAAGGTTATTTTATCTCACTCAGTAATTTTTATTTTCCATTAAAGGTATGGGTATTTTCCCTAATATTTTTATTGGCTCATAATTTTATTAATGCAATGTGTGTATTTCCAAGAGCAGAGTAGGATTATTGTACCAGGCATTTGCTCTGGAGACAGATTAGAAAACATTCCAATGTTGCCTCCTTCGAGAGGCAATATCCTATTTCTGGCCCCGTCTTGTTTGTAAGCCTATCAATTCTGCCAAGGATTCTCTAAGTTTTTCCATTTTTTTCCTTTCACCTTCCTTTTTCTTTTTCCTTTTTCTTCTGCCAGTTTGTCAGGTTTTCCTGAAATGGCAAAAAAGTTGCAGATAGTAAACAACTGGCAATAACTGTGGTTCAACTGCTTAGGTGCTGGAGGTGGAAGGACCCAGGTATCCAAGGAAGGCTTCAGTACTTACATCTCACTTGTAAACCTAACCCTGCAGAATCAGTCTGATAGGAAGGGACAGAATAATTGCTGGATGAGAAGGAAGATGAAAAGATGAAGACCCTGTCCCTGAATCACCAGGCTTTAGCTAAAATCAGATTTTTCCCAGCTCCTCAGGAAAATATGCAAGGCTCTATAGATTGAAAGATGTGTTTCCAGGGACTAGCAGCTCTGTTCTGATTCTTCTTCCCTGAAGAATTCAACCAAAAATTAGTAAAAGGAAAAGCGGAAGCTCCTCCCTCACTGTTAATCTCTGCAACATTAGTCAGGCTTTTCTAAATCTCTCCCCGCCCCCCGCAAGAGAGGACCCTTAGCACTTATTTCATAGGCCACAGTCAATCAAGAAAGAGAAGACACTCCCAAATATCCAAAGGGCAAGACAGTGCAAATCATTCAGTCTATAACAAATGAGTCTATAGCTTTTGCAATGATTGAAGTTTTCAGGGAAGTCCTTATGCCTAAAGCTATAGACATAAGGACTTCCCTGAAAACTTCAATCATTATAAAACGTATTTCTCCCAAATACAAGAATTAGTTTATTGCTTTAGTGTGAGAAACTCAGGCATGGGCTGTATAAAATTTCCAGGTCTGCTATTTTAACAATGGGTGATAATCTAGACAGGGTCCACTATTAAGACAGAGGCATGTTGGCCAATATGGCTGCTAGAAAACAACTTTGCCAGTTGCCTAAGAAGTAAAATATTTCTAAATCAATCCTCCTGTCAGTCTCTGCTTTGCTGCTGCTTCGGCTGCCATTGAAACGGGGAGGGGGGGCATGGTATTTGGGGAGGGAATCATGATGTGCTGGAGGAAGATTCTAGCCGCTGACCTAACCACCTTCCTGCCCATGTGGAGGAAGGGAGTTTCCCGCCAAGGTTAACTGNTGCTGAACAAAACTCCACACTGGCAACAGGAAGGGCATCTGGCCATTCAAACACTCTTCTAGCTCCATTCAGTTGCCTAGACTCCACCCCACAAGGGATTATGGGGTCATTAAAACATGATCTTGACATAAATGGAGGACTCTATGAGATCCCACAAATGGAGGCTAGCTGGGAAGTAAAATAATAATAAAAATTAATAGAAATTAATAACAATTAATAATAAAACCAGTACAGGTAGTCCTAGACTTACAAAGATTGTTTAGTGACCATTCAAAGGTACAATGGCACTGAAAAAAGACTTATGACCATTTTTCAGAGTTACGGCCTTTGCAGCATCCCCGTGGTGACATGACCAAAATACGGATGCTTGGCAGCTGGTTCGTATTTATGACCGTTGCTGCGTCCCAAGGTCATGTGATCCACTTTTGTGACCTTTTGACAAGCAAAGTACTTTGGGGAAGCCAGATTCACTTAACAACCGGGCTACTAACTTATCAACTGCGGTGGTTCCCTTAAGGACTGTAACAAGAAAGATTGTAAAATGGTCTTAACAAATGAAAAGTTGGGCTCATTTATGGTCGTTAAGTCAAATGTACCTGGCAGAATACAAGAGAAAGAGTGGAGAAAATCACAAAATCCAAAAGAGAAAGAGAATGACTGTGGCAAAAGAAAGTAAAGATAGCACCAATAGTCATAGGCCCCTTGGGTGCAATCCCAAAACAACTGGGGCACCACTTGAACACCTTTGGCATTGACAAATGCACCATCGGTCAATTGCAAAAGGCAGCTTTACTTGGAACAGCTTACAATCTGCCACAATCCTTTTAACACCATCAATCTGCCTGTCCTAGATTCTTAGGAAGGACTCAATGGATGGAGAAAAATGCCAAATCCAGTTGAAACGTCTGACTGACTGTGTGATCAACCATAATAATGAGAAAAATATGTAAAACACCAAGAAACATTAAAATTCAGCAACAGGGAGAAACCTAGAGCAGAGAAGCATGCCTTAAAAATTGGGCCAGATTCTGCAAATCCCAGAAGACTTGGGCAACTCCCAGCTCCACCTTCATAAATCACAAGTTGCATTGATCTGCTGTAAACTCTCCGTTTCATTCAACGGAAGCCAGTCTCTTTCTTCATAAGTGACATTTGCAACTTTGGTGATTTAGTATCTTTTATTTTTGATTTGATTTGATTTTGATTTTATTAACATTTGTAGGCCGCCCTTTTCCCTGAGGGGACTCAGGGCGGCTCACATAAAATCAGGGGGGGGGGGAAGTACAAACAGTGACATAGACACATATAATAAAAGTAATAAGCAACATACATTCATCAT